CATAGAAATATTGAAAGTATTTAGTTTAACTATTACACCATTTTCAAAAACTCCTGTTCGGTTTTATTCCAAACACCAAATTTGAATATTCTCCCTTGAATCAGAACAGACGCCACACGATTATCTGATTCTCTAACGACGTAGGCGTGGCTGAGGATTTTTGGCGTATTTGGATTAGCGCCATGAAACTTGATATGACTGAAAAATTATTGATTATTTCGAAGCGATCCCCGTGATCCTAACTTTTCCTGCAAATGATATCTAAAAGTGGTCAACAGACAAAATATTTTTGATATTTTGATAAACATTTTTTCAGTTGTTCTCCGGAATTTGCGGGGTCTCATTTCAGTGATTTTCGAAGGGAATATCCTAGGTTTTCGAGCGAAAAAGTAGGTTCCTGATGGTGGAAATTCAGAAAATCGTACTTTAAAAAATTCTGTGACCTGCAATTTTTATGAAATTTGTCGAAAAAATGGAGATTTCATTGAAAGAATGAGCCTAGAAGGTGTAAAAATTTCCAAGGAAAAACAAACATTTTTAGGTGAATAGGGATCCCTAAAAAATAATTTAAGAGTAATTTTCAGGTCATTGATGAGAGAATATCAATCTTAAAATAGCAAAACTCTGAAAAAATTTTCAGAAATTCAAAAAATTTCAGAATTTCAAAATTCTGAAAATTAAAAAAAGAACATTTTTCATATAAATATAAATATCATTTATTTCTCTACAAAAAATTTCTGGACATTTCGAGTTCTTCTTCTTCTTCTTTATCTTCTCGCCTTCTGGAACATTCTCAATCCTTCTGCAGAAACGGCAACACGTGGATTCCGAATGTGTTGAGATGGATGAGGACGAACAGGACCAACGCGATAACCCACAACACGATCATTATCCAGTAGACGATTTTGACGCGTTTCTGAAAAATAAGGAATACAGCTTATGCGCTCTAATGCAAACAATTACAATTTTCTTCTTCAACTTTTTGACTTTCGGCTTGTCGACCCGATAGTTTCTCGAGTCCGATGGATCGGAATCTGGCAATTCCTGAACGCCGCTTCCCACCATATCATTTCCTCCTTTTACTGGCTTCTTGCTACTCGGCGCCTTATCAGATTCCTGAACGAGGGGCGGAGCTTGAGCCGTCGGTGGCGGTGGAACATCTGTGCCGTGGGGCGCGTTTGGATCCATGTTGGCATACGGTAGACCGCCCAAATTCTGATAATTGTCATCGGCCGAACGAAGTGGATCGTTTCCCGGATTCGCTGGATCATATGGATCGGCCATTCTTTTTTTTTTTTTTGGTTTTCAGGAAATGTGGATCAAACGATTCGGATTGGTTTTGGTACACCGATTAAGGAGAAATGTTGTCAAAAATTTTGAAATTCTCTCTAAAAGTTCATCGTGACCTTTCCACCCAAATTCCAGCTTATCCAGTTTTTCCAGTTTTTCCAGCTTCAAAAAAAAAATGTTTTTAAAAATATTCTAAATTGCCCAACCGCCATTTATTACAACCAAAACCGTGCCAGGGTAGCAATTTAGGCTCCGCCCCTGACTCTTTTCTCCGGAGTTTTTTTTCCCCGGAAATTTTTTTCTCCGGAGTTTGCGGGGTCTCCACTGAAATTTGAATGACTATACAATCGCGCCCTACTGAAAAATGCGAAAAATGCGCGAAAACGCGCTTTTCAAATTTGTTCACCTAATTTATCGTCATTTTTCTCGATTTTCAGTGAAAATCAGTGATTTTTATTGGATTTTTTGCTGAAATTCGCTAAAAATAACCATTTTTCGTGCTCCTATCATCCATGTTACCGTTGGAATTCCTTTGAATCCGCTTAAAATCGCTTAAAATCCAAAAATATGGGTTTTTCGTTTTTCAGACTACCCCCAGCTAAAATGGATCACTTCATGCCACAAATATTCTGGCATGACCGGCAAGGACTCCTTTCCGTGGACCTGCACCATTCCCTTCGAAGCGGGAACAAGTATCGGCTCGTCACGGCGAGCGTTCAGAAGGAGGTCAGATTTTTTGGTTTTTTAAGAATTTTTCACTGAACAGCCATTTTTCTTAACGACAAAATCGATTTTCCAGGTCCGCGTCTGGGAATTCGAATTCGAAGTCGGCCTGGACCCGAAGACGCAGGAGCAGAAGCCACAGTTGACGGTCGGATTCCTGGCGAACCTGGCCTTCCACAACCAGGCTATAAATCAAGTAAAATTCAGCCCAAGCAAAGAGCGTAAGTCTGAAAACTCCCTTTGCAGCATAAAGTTCTTTAAAAATAACGATTTTTCAGATGACCTGTTGGCGTCTGGAGACTGTGAAGGTCGGATCACCGTCTGGAAGCTCAGCGATCAGCCAGCGCCGCCACCACAGGACGAAATGCCGACGAATAAGGAGAATTGGGTCAGGCACAAGGTAAAATGCCCTAAAAAGCCAAATCAGGCGCTAATAAGGCTAAAAATTCCAGGTGCTGAACCATAACAGCGATGTCAACGCGCTCTGTTGGAATCCGGGAGGCACCCAGATTGCCTCGGTATCCAACGACCACACGCTGGCGGTGCACGATGCGCTGACAGGTAAGCATTGCCACGTGGAAAAGTTGGCTGGAAATTGAGCGGGAAATTCGAATTGGAAGCCGGAAATTCAAGATTTTTGAGCCATTTTCCGTGAGAATCCTGTCAACATCGGCCCAAAATGTGTAGAATTGAGCGAAATTCTAGCTATTTTACATCGAAAAATCTACCAAAATGATTCAAAATTGCCATTTTTCGGCGATTTCTGCGCGATTTAACATTGAAAAATCCCACTGAAACAGGCGAATTTTGCCCAGTTTTTCGAATTTCAAGGAATTTCAAGATTTATGAGTGAAATTTCTCTCAGTTTCAGTCGTTTTTGTCTGAAAAATGATCAAATTTGGCATGAGAAAAGCTTTTGAGCACTGAAATTTCGCTGTTTTTTGAGCCATTTTACGGCGATTTTGGCTAATTTTACACCGAAAAATTGACTCAAAAAAACGATTTTCCCCGTATTTCCAGCTAATTTTCAACCAAAAATCTCTCAAACTTGTCTGAAAATTGATACATTTTGGCATGAAAAAAGCTTTTGAGCACTAAAATTTGTTGTTTTTTTCGAGCTATTTTACCTTGTAAAATCGTTCTAAAATTGATCAAAATTGGAAATAGAAAGCTTGTGAAATCACATATTTGGCCGATTTTCGCCAATTTTTCACAGAATTTTCCCGCATTTCCAGCTAATAACGGCTGAAAGCCGTTTTGAGCCATTTTTCGACGATTTTGGCTATTTTTACACTGAAAAATTGACTCAAAGAGACGATTTCCCCCGTATTTCGAGCTAATTTACAACCAAAAACCCCCCTATATTGTCCCCTAAATGTCCCATTGTTCCAGGCAAGCGTCTCTTCGTCGCAAGCAACTTCCGCTCTCCGAACGGCGTGTGCTGGGACCCAATGGGCAAGTACATTGCCACCATGTCGCCAGATCGTCGTATGGATCTTGTGGACGCCGTCAAAGGAACCCGCCTGAAGCACTTCTCGAGTGCCACCCTTCCGCCACGTGTGATCCCTTCCGCCAACGGTGACCTTCATCTGGAGGAGAAGGTTCACAAACTGTTTCACGACGACCAGCTCTTCAGTTTCCAGCGAGCCCTGTCGTTCAGTCCGAATGGAGAGTACATCGCTGCGCCGTGTGCACACTTGGAATTGGGATCATCAGACTTATATGGAACGTACTTCTTCAAGAGAGAGGATTTGGGAACGAAGGATTTGCCCAAGGCCTTCTATCCTGCACCAAAACCAACGTTCTTGGTTCGATTCTCCCCCATTACGTTCTCTCTGATCCCTGGAACCAAGGAGAATCACCTGGGACTGCCTTATCGATATGTGTGGATCTCGCTGAACAAAGATGCCATATACTTCTATGACTCCCAGCACAACTATCCAGTCGCCGTGGTGGACAATATACATTTGAACGCGCTGACGGATGCCACGTTCAGCAGCGATGGACGGGTGCTTGTGGTATCGTCGCTCGAGGGATACTGTAGCTTCGTGAGGATCAATATATCGGTGTGGGGAGAGATCCAGACGGAAGTGGTGCCGACTTGCACATCGCCAATGCTGATTGAGGAGAAGAAGCAGAAGAAGAGGAAATCGATGGTTGCTGGAGGATCGGGGGAGCAGCCTGAGGTGGAGAAGAAGACGTCGCCGGTTGCACCGAAGACGCCGAAGACAGCGACTACACCGCTCACAAAGTTTTTCAAGAAGAATTCAGAAGCGCCACAGCCTGTGGCATCGTCATCAGCGACGCCATCATCGTCGAAGAAGAGGATTCAATTGGTTTCACTGGATCAGTGATTATTTATTGCTCAATTTTTGTGTATTTTTCGTTTCGATACTTGTGATTTTTCCCCGATTTTGATTGACACACTATTAGCGACCTCATTTTCTACTACTTTATATTTATTTTTTGATTTTTCGAATTTCAGAAAAAAGATTGCAACCTGTATACTCATTTTTCATTCAAAAATGCATTTTCTCTCTTAAATCCCAATTTTCAGATGTTCGCTGACAATTTTCGATTTTTCTCGGCCATCAATTCAGAATTCTAGGCCGCTGGAAGTGGCGGAAATCGGAAAAAAACTGTTGAAAGCTTTAAAATTTGATGTACAAAATGTGCATTTTTTAAAATCGAAACAGTCTGAAAAATAGTTCGAACAACGTCTTTAAAAAGATAATTTCAATACAAAGAACAAGAATTAGAATGAACAAGAATTTATAAGAGAAATTCTAAAAAAGATTTAATCAATTTTAAACAAATTTCAAAAAAAAAACAAAAAGCAAAGAATGACAAGTACTAAAATCATAGAAATATTTGAAAGTATTTAGTTTAAACTATTACACCATTTTCAAAAACTCCTGTTCGGTTTTATTCCAAACACCAAATTTGAATATTCTCCCTTGAATCAGAACAGACGCCACACGATTATCTGATTCTCTAACGACGTAGGCGTGGCTGAGGATTTTTGGCGTATTTGGATTAGCGCCATGAAACTTGATATGACTGAAAAATTATTGATTATTTCGAAGCGATCCCCGTGATCCTAACTTTTCCTGCAAATGATATCTAAAAGTGGTCAACAGACAAAATATTTTTGATATTTTGATAAACATTTTTTCAGTTGACCACTTTTCTGTATCTGCTACAGAAACCGAGATAGATGAGCTCAAGGGTAGCGGTTTGAATGGCACTTACACTTTGGGCAAAGTGTGCCTTGGTGGTCTTTTTGCTGCATCAATGTATTTTGCTCCAATTGCATTGAGAATTTGGTTCTGGGAGATTTCATTGAAGCATACTCCAATTGTCAAATATTCCAATTTTTGAAAAGCTTCTCCTGATTTCCATCTATTCACAAACTCAATCAAATCTTGATCCTTGCACATATCGCATTTTATAAATGCTTGTCTTCCTTGGAAATGACGTAAAACAGCCGGAGTTGCAAGTTCTCGTTGAGTGACTCCTATCGACTCTGCTTGATACAAGTTGGATTCTGGAGGGAATAGTTCTTCTGTTGTATGTTGATCCCCGTAAATAAGACTATAAAATAACCCATAATGATTTTGGAATGTTAGGTATCTAGTACGCAAATCGACCCGTTTGAAAACAGGAGAAGATGAGGAGAGATAGTCTTGCACTTTCTTCAAGTTCACAAGTTTTACGCCACAAGAAATGCTCAATGCTGACAGGTTTTGAAGTTGTGGAATGAAGAATTCGGGTTGATTCCATGTTCTCCATCGATATTCCACCGAACTGCCGAATAAATCGAGAAAATAATTATGAATCGATTGGATTGCAGTTTCCCATGGATGACAAAATGCCACAAGACAACGGGAAATGTCGCATATTCTGGAATAATGATTACTCTATGATTCATTGCTCATATAAACTCACCGAAAATAAATTATCTTTCCAGCAACGTCCAACGGAAAGTAGGAATTCTTGAAATAAACGTAATGGTTAAAGCGATCGGAAACTTGCAGTATCCTGTCCAGAGTGTTTTTGAAGGGAATACAAACCAACTGTTCGTTCGAATCATACACAATAGAATTGGTACTTTTGAATCGTTCAATTTGAGAAGATCTGATCAATTTCTTCATGTTTTTGGAGACAAAGGAGATCAGAAATAGATTCTTATATTCGAAGTTATGGAGTATCTCCTGCTGGACCAAATAGGGGAATTTGAATAGTTTCATTCTTTTGGTAGTTCTGAAAATAATAAATAGATTATAGATAGAAGAACATATGTTACAAATTTTTATAAATTCTGATATTTTTTTTCTTGTCAAAATTGAGACTGTGAGGATGGTGCTAATGTAAGGGGCATATCTAATCCACCTGCATTTAGTTGGTCCATGTGGGGCAAGGGAGAGAGTGGGCTAACCAGTCAAGGTCATCCATAGGACTCGCAACATCATGTATCGTTTTGGGACACACCTTCGATTTCCTGACAGCCCTCGATTCTGAGCCCTTCCTCCCAATTGGATGAGGGTCCTTCTGGTCATTTGCCAGATGTTTTTCTTTCTTATCCATTTTTCTCTTCATCATCGATCACCTATTTTCCATTTAATCCATTTGATATTTTCAGAACTACAGTAAGAATGAAACTATTCAATTTTCCTTGCTTGGTCCAGAGAGAGAGAGATACTTCACAATATCCCATTTCAAAGTCTGTTTCTTCTCTCCTTTGTATCTGATAAAACGAAGAAATTAATCAAGTCATCTCAAATCGCACGATTTAAAACTATCGGTAATATTGTGTATGGCGACTTCATTTTCAATGAACCATTGGTTTATATTCCTTATAAAAACAGAATGGAAAGGATACTGCAAGTTTCCGATCGTTTTGAAAATTACACTCATTACAAAAATGTAGGTTCGGCAACGGCTGTCCTGTGGCATTTTGTCATCCATGGGAAACTGCAATCGAATCGATTCATAATTATTTTCTCGATTTATTCGGCAGTTCTGTGGAATATCGTTGGAGAACAAGGAGTCATCCGCTTTTGTGCATTCCAGTAGGCGAATTGTTCGTCCCACAAATTCAAAACTTGTCAGCATTTCGTGTGGCGGAAAACTTGTAGATTTGAAGAAAGTGCACGACTATTTCTCATCGTTTCCGGTTTTTAAACGGGTTGATTTGCGCACTAGTTACCTATCATATCAGCCTTATATGGGGTTATTTTATAGTCTACTGTACGGTGCTCAAAAGACGACAGAAGAACTATTCCCTCGAGAATCCAAATTATATAAGCGCAATCTATAGGAATCACTCAACGAGAGCTCGCTACTCCGGCTGCTTTACGTCATTACCAAGGAAGACAGGCATTTATAAAGTGCAATGAATGCAAGGACCAAGATTTGATCGAGTTTGTGAATAGATGGAAATCAGGAGAAGCTTTTCAAAAATTGGAATATTTGACAATCGAAATAGTTTTCAATGAAATCTCCCAGAACCAAATTCTCAATGAAATTGGAGCAAAATACATTGATGCAGCAAAAAGACCACCAAGGCACTCTTCAACACATCACTCATCTCAAATCTCGAGATTCAATAGTACATTTTTTATATTCCAGTCGCATGTCGTGTATATATAAGGTCACAAACATATATAAGGTCACCAGGTCACCCGGATCCAGGTCACCCGGATTCAGGTCACCCGGATCCAGGTCACCCGGATCCAGGTCACCCGGATCCAGATCACCCGGATCCAGATCAACCGGATTCAGGTCACCCGGATCCAGGTTACCCGGATCCAGGTCACCCGGATCCAGGTCACCCGGATCCAGGTCACCCGGATCCAGGTCACCCGGATCCAGGACCCAGGACCGAGGACCCAGGTTCTCTGTCCCGGATCCCCCGTGTCACCTCTTCTGGAGTCCAGAGAAGGTGAGAACTGATTCTTCTTTTCATTCCCCTCTTCTTTTATATTACTTTCCCAGAGGTCAATGGTTTCTAAACCAACTCACGTAGTCGTTTTGATCTAGAAATTTAAATTTCTTTTCAAGAATTTTTCATCACGTTTAAATAAACTGGAATTTCCACTTTTGAAATCTGTAAAACTCCTTAAAAAGATCGTTCCTTTGAACCTAGTTATCTTGTTTCCTGTTTGAGATATCAAAAAATGTTCAACTGATGAAATGTTTCTTATATGAAGATAAACATTTTAGTTTTCAAAGTTTCGAATATCTTTTACAGGAACCGAGATATATTTGAACAAATTTGCAAAATTATGATTGTCATTTGTTGTAGGTTTACGCCCATCCGGGTCTGGGCTTTAGTTTATATAAAAACACCAGCTATCTGTTTGCCACGCCTCCGGTTCTTCACTTTTTTGACAAAATGTTTATCATAATATCACCTACATTTTATCAGTTGACTACTTTTTTGTTATCTCCCACAAGAACCGAGATATGTGCGCTCAAAGCTAGTGGTTAGTTAGTTAGCGATTTTTGAGATGACTCCGAAACTTTGCAGATTCATTGATAATGGTGATGATGAACCAAATACGGATCCAATCACAAGTCATGCCTATGTCGTTAGAGAATCAGATGGTCATGTTGCGTCTGTTCTGATTTAGACGAATACGTTCAGCTTTGGAGTTTGGGATAAAACCGAAGAGGAGTTTTTAAGAATGGCGAGACATATGGGTTCACAGCTTTAGCGATTTCACTGAAATAGGAATCTATCATACCTATGTTCTATCTTTTTCCCCCACTGAACACTTTTAAAAAGTGTCTTTCCTCTTTTTTTAAATCTTGAAGTCGTTAGCCCTTGTCATTCTTATAGCTCTGTTTAAAAAATTTCAACAAATTCTAGTTTGTTGTATTCCAATGTCATAGGTTACCTGATGACGTGACAGATGAACACAGATTCACACATCTAGAAGATGGATCGTTATCTTCTTTGGCACCAAGACCATGTGTAAACCTATGAATTCAGCTACACGGAATTGTCAGGAGAACAATTATCACATACCTAGACGTCTATTTTATTTGTGTTCGCGCAATTCTGACTAGTCAGATAGGTGCTAAGAATACATCTTTAATCTCTCTGCCAGCGATGGTCGGTCCCTGTGGGACTGTCACCAGTCAAGGTCAATACCCTGTACTTGGGGTCTTCAGGTCTTCTGTGTATTTTTCGGACACTCCTCCAATTGGTAGGAACCAGTTGCCAGGAAATCTAGGAGGGGTCAGCTACGCAACCGATGCAAAGGTCCTTCTTGGTCATTTGCCCCACCATAAGATGCCCCTTTCCTCTTATTCTTCCTTCTTCTTCTTTTCACTCTTATGTTTCGATTCACCTATTTTTTTTCTCCATAATCTAATCAATATTTTCAGAACTATAGAAGGATGAAACTATTCAAATTCCCCTATTTGGTCCAGCAGGAGATACTCCATAACTTCGAATATAAGAATCTATTACTGCTCTCCTTTGTGTCTAAAAACATGAATAAATTAATCAAATCATCTCAAATCGCGAGATTCAAAAGTGTCAATTTTATTGAATATGGCTCTGGCAGATCGGATGAACCGTTGGTTTATATTCCCCACAAAAACACTCGGTATACGATACTGAAACTTACCGGTCCATTCGAGAATCCTGCTCGTCATGAAAATGATTACTTTACCTTGAACATATCTGGAAAGATAGTTGATGTTCGGTGAGTTGATATTAAAGAATATATCACAAAAATAGTATTATTTCAGAGTATGCATCTTTCACGGTCTTGTGGTGTTCAGTCGTTCATGGGAACCGGTAATCAAATCGATTCATAACTATCTTCTTAATTTATTCGGCAGTTCTGTGGAATATCGTTGGACAACTAGTACTCGCACGGATCTGTTCGAAGTGTTCATTCCAAGACTCAAAAACCTGTCGGTATTGAATACTTCTTGTGGCGAAAACGATATGAAAACAGTGGACACCTATTTGTTATCATCTCCTGTTATCAAACGGATCGATTTCTTCATTTTCTGCTCCTTGGATAGAGGTTTTTTTTCCCGGTGTGGATATATGCCAACGGAGGAACCATTCCCTCCAGAATCCAAATTGTATCAAGCGCAATCTATAGGAGTCACTCAACGAGAGCTCGCTACTCCGGCTGTTTTACGTCATTACCAAGGAAGACAGGCATTTATAAAATGCGAAAGATGCGAGAATCAAGATTTGATAGAGTTTATAAACAGATGGAAATCAGGAGAAGCTTTTCGAAATCTCGAATATTTGGAAATTGAAATACTTATCAGTGAAGTTCCCCAGAACCGAATTTTCTACGCAACTGGAACCAAATACATTGATGTAACGAAAAGGTCACCAACTCATACTTTACCCAAAATGTGAGTTCCACTCAAACCACTAACTTTGACTCCGTATATCTCCGTTTCTGTGAAAGATGTAAAAAAGTAGTTAACTGACGAAATTTTGGTGATATTATGCTTATCATTTTGTTAGTTGACCGCTTTTTGTTATCTCTTATAAGAACCGAGATATGTGAGCTGAAATTTAGAGGTTTGTTAGCGATTTTTGAGATGACTTCGAAACTTTGCAGATTCATTGATAATGGTGATGATGAACCAAATACGGATCCAATCACAAGTCATGCCTATGTCGTTAGAGAATCAGATGGTCATGTTGCGTCTGTTCAGATTCAGAGGGACACGTTCAGTTTTGGAGTTTGGGATAAAACCGAAGAGGAGTTTTTAAGAATGGTGGAATAGATGGGTTCACAGCTCCAGCGAACTTATTGAAATCTTGTATTCTTTTTCTTTTTTCTTATTGCTTCCGTTGTTTTTCTTCATTTTATATGTTCAATAAATCCCTCTTTCCAATGAAAAGCATCGAAACCTTCTCATTTTTCTTTATAACCCATGAAAAACAGAATGTTTTCATATAGAGATAAGTTTGTTTTTTTTTCCTCATTTTTTCTTACAAACTGAAAACGGACCACTTTTAATTATCTAAAAAAGAGGTAAAGAGTTCACGGATCGGTCTGAAAATTTTTGAACAAAATACTGAACATATACAGAGCTTCCTTATTGCTGTTAACAACTTTTTTGTAGCTCTCCTCCTTGTGAAGATATGCCATGTGGAAGAGGCGTACCGTTCCGCTAGTGGTGGCGGCGCCTCGAGGTATCCACACTTCCACGTGGCATATCTTCTCAGGACCTAGTTTTACAAAAACTTAGTCTATTACAAAGATAAAGATCTAGTGTTGTTCAGTCTATCCTGAGAATTTCAGATCAATCGGAAAATTTTGAACCTTTTTTTTTAACGCCTACCGGCTACCGGCTCAGAGGCTTATCGCATATCTTTTCAGGACCTAATTTTCCTTCAAACTTGTCAATTACAAAAATGAAGCTCTATTCTTGAGCTTTATTTTTGTAGTTGACAACTTGTTTGTAACTCTTTATCCTGTAGAGATATTCAACGAGGAAGTGCTTGCATTTCCAGCGCGCACTAACTGCACTAGTTCTGGCGCCGCCTTGGGACTATCCACACTTCCACGTGGCACATCTTCTCAGGTGCTAATTTTTCAAAAAAGTTGTCAACTATGAAAATGAAGCTCTAGTTTTGTTTAGTCTATTTCTAAAATTTTCAGACCAAGCAGCCATGTTTTAGTTTTCTTTTTTGAAATTCGAAACTTGGCGGCCGAAGAACGGCTCAATAGCGGCTCAAGTGGGCTGGGCCTATTTTTAAAGGTTCAAACTTTTTGGATTTGCTTGAAAATATCAGAGTATACCAAACAAAACTAGAGCTTCATTTTCGTAGTTGACAACTTTTTTGTAGCTCTTCTCCCTGTAGAGATATTCCACGTGGAAGAGGGGTCCTCTGCAGCGCGCACTATCTGCAGGAGCGGAGCCTTGAGACTATCAACTCTTCAACGTGGCATATCTCCTCAGGGCCCAATTTTACAAACAAGGTGTCAACTACAAAAATGTAGCTCTATTTTTCCTTTGTGTATTCGGAAAATGTCATCATGATCCAAAAAGTACGATCCACTTTTGTAGGCACTCGAATTTGACTGATTATAAAGAAGTTTTTAAAAATCACAGTGCTGCTAATGTGCTCCATTGCTAACAGAGGAATTAACAATAAAATGATTCATTGGCGACTGTCTCTGTGCAGTTGGTTATAAAATGATGGTTTTTTTGAAATAAATCGTTCGACTGGGGGATCTTATTTAGGATAGGAGGAAAGGGAGAGAGAGAGAGAGAGCATGAGAAAGTGAGAGATTCAGACAAAACATTATTTTGAGATCCTTCGAACGGCGATGGCTCGGAGGACACGGTTATTGCCATTCCCAAATCGGCTCGAGCACCACGGACCCACCACCACTTCGCTTTCCGAACTGCAACGGGCGGTAGTCACGTTTGCCGAACTGCAACGGACGGTAACCATCTCGTTTGCCGAACTGCAAGAGATACAATGGCTACAGTAATCCTTGGAATCTTCTAGAAGGTTCCAGAAGTTTCCAGAAGCCTCCAGAAGATTCCGGAAGCCTGCAAAAGCTTCCAGAAGATTCCAGAAGCCTTCAGAAGCCCCTAGAAGGTTTCAGAAAGCTCCAGAAGCCTTCTGAAAGTTCCAGAAGCCTCCAGAATGTTCCAAAAGTCTCCAAAAGTTTCCATAAGGCTCCAAAAAGCTTCAGAATGTTCTAGAAGCCTCCAGAAACCTACAGAAGCCTCCAGAATGTTCTAGAACCATTCTACAGTAATCCTTACCTGAAGTGGACGGTAGTCGCGATCCTGACGGTCGAACGTTGGCGATTGTGTGGCAAAAACTAGAAACCAAGAATTTTAATAAAAAGAACAAAAAAAGAAGCAAACCGTCAACGAAGACAAGGATGAGCAATACGAGGACGCAGCTGTTGCGGAGCATTTCGATTAGAGCCGCACGCACTACTTTTGGGGGGACGGAATGGCAATTGAAAGTAAAGTTTTTGGCGACGAAGTGTCAGCCTTTTATACCCCCAGCGCCAAGATTCGTCATCGACCACGCCTACTCTCTACAGAATCCACCCCACTCATGCTAAATGAGAGCTCTTCTGGAGTTGATGGCGCAATAAAATCTATAAAATCCCTTCTCCCCCTATATGATAAAACGGATGAGTGAATTTGGGTAGAAGGGATGGAGAGATTCATTTCGTGTATATCCCGAAATTGGGATCTACTTTTAGAGACGAAATGGAGAACAGAAAAAAAGGGGTTTGGATGATGTAATACACAAAAATTCAATTTTCAACACAGTAAAACGGGAGTATCTTGGGCTCTAGCGAATTTTAGAAATTCCGACTAGACAGCAATTACAGAAATATAGGGGTTGGGGGTAGGGGCAAAAAGAACGGACAGCAAGTTAGAAAAATGACTGCGAAAATTAAATAGGATCATCGTCGGTCTTGTTGCTCAGCGTGAAGTATGATGGATCGATGAAATCGGCGACACCGTTCTGGATGAGGAAGTAGATGAATGTTCCAGCCATGACGACGAGAAGGATTGTGAGCAGCTGAAAGAGAATAGATTTAGCTGGGATTGAAGGCTTTTGGGAAGGCTCTGGAAGGTTTTGGAGGTATTTTTGAAGGACCTTCAATGTTGAAAACCTGTTCTGCTTCGAACTGGTTTCTGAAAGGTTCCAGAAGCAACTTGACGTCATCGAGCTGTGGAGGTTCCAGAGAAACCAGTGTTATGGAAAATTGATGGTTATTGCGAATTCGGCTTCTCTTGGATTCCGAATTCCGTCCTTAACGTCGTCTTGGCTCAATTTCTAGTACAACAATAGATTTCGGACACATTCTCAACTTTTGTCCGACTTTCTCGTCATCAGCAACGTATTGTTCACAATTGATAAGCTCACAACATCTTACAGCTCAAATTTAGAGCTCACCAACACAGTGTAACTTGAGGAATAGATTGTGTTTTCTTTCTTGAGTGTTTGTGCTGATTTTGATGCTTTGACGGGATTTAAAAAGAACCTTCTCGACCCCTTCTCACCTGCTTCATCCCAAACGCCGACGACTTCCTATTATCAAGTTGTGCGGCACGCAACGCGGCCCGATCGGCAGCCATTTCCTCTTCTGTCAAATAGCGCATCGACTCCTCGCAATCGTCATCCGTGTCTGAATCCGGACGCCGTGCTGGCGATCCAGATGGCTGTTGTGTGGTGACGGCGGCGCCACTGTGACGTGTAGTCCGTTTCGAAGGCGTATCGGCGGTGACGGCGGCGAACATTGGGCTGAAGCTTCTGTCCTTCTCATTCTGATCGATGTGTCCGTTGACTTGCGACGGATCGTTGTGCCGACTTGATTGATCTGAAGTGACAAGAAAATTAGGAATTTCGACTAGGACAGTTTTCGACAATTTTCTTACTTCCAGCCAGCTTCAATAGCTTCTTTTCGTACACTTTGCGCGTCGACGCGACGATTGGTCCCACTGACACTCCGTGGCTTCTCAAATTGTCGCGAAGTTCCGCATCTGTCAGCTGGGAGACGTCCATTGTTTTTTTGAGAGACGATCTGGAATTTTTACATGAGATTTGAAGAAGAAAATGCAGAGAAAAATTGCGAAAATCACTGTGTCGAAACTATCTGCCAAAAATCACTTTTTTGCTTCAAAAAAACATTCAAAACTTAATTTTCCGAAAATTTTAACCACAAAACACACTGAAAACCGGAAAAAATGTCTAAAATTCGCTAAAAAATGAAAAAAATGACTGTTGAAATTTGAATTTCCGTGCCCTATCAGCGAGAGAGTGTGAGAAACGAAGAGACGCAGAGTGTGGGTTTCGCCGCGATGTAGATTTACGCAGCTGGTTTTTGGCGCCGTGCAAGAATTTTTTCAATTGAGGATTTTGGATTTTGAGGATTTTTCAGGTTTTTAGACGATTTCAGCGGATTTTTTGTGGAAAAAATCGAAGAAATATCGATTAGAAGTCGTGGAGAAGTCGAAATTGCTGGGAAAAAATCTGGAAAAATCTGAAAAAAAATTCAAAAACAGAATTTTGAAATTTTAAACCATTTTTTTTGTTTTGTCCACGATGAGAAAAAAAACATTTACATAAAATTAGATCAATAGAGAAATAAATATGAAATTAAAAACTATCGCAAAAAAGTCGATACAAAAAAGACAGGGGGCGAAAAACGGGATGTTTGAGTGTTTGTGAGTGTTTGTGTGGAGTGAGAGAGAGAGAGAGTGGATGGTTTTATTTTGCTTATAAAAATTGTGTATTAAAAATTTTTTTGAGAAATTTATCTCAAGAAAAAAAAGAACTGGGAGAGAGAAAGTTGGGGGAGGATGGGGGGAGGGAGGGGAAGCATTCGATAATTTTCGACGAAAATATGGTGTGAAACTCAAGAAAAATTGGGTGAGGGATGAAGGAAAAAAAAACGGTTATAGATTTATATTTATATATATATATATAAATTGAATTATATGAAAAAAAAATGACACAGAAAATTGTGTCCTCTGCATTAATGGTAAAGGGGAAGAGACAAAAAAAATATATTAAAAAAATTTAAATTCGAAAGATGAAGCGGGGAGGGGGCGGGGGGAGGAAAAAAAAGTTTTTTTTGAGTTAAAAAATATATAAGTTTTTTTTTGTATGATCGGCGGGGATGGGGGACTAGTTTGTGATTTAATTTTTACAGGCCGGAAAGATGGGGAGGGAGGGAAAAGAATGAGAGAAAAAAAACCGACTTTTTGTGATGATAAATGAGTGTGTTGGGGGGGGGGGCTTTTTTGTGTGTGTTTTTTCAAAAGGGCAGGACAGGGGGAAACAGCTAAACCAAAAAAAATGGAGAAGACAAAAAAGAAAGATTATTTGGGTGGGGGACGGATTTTGGATGAAAATTCGAGAATGAAAGAGAGAGACACAGAGAAAGAGAAAGAGAGGAATCAGAAACAGGAGTACAAGAAAATGTTTCCTAGGGGTATGGGTGCGCAAAAAAAACAAAAAAAAACAGTCTCACTCGACCCAATTGAGAGAGAGACAAGAATAGGAGGGGACAGAGAGATAGAAAGAGAGAGAGAGAGAGAGAGAGAGAGAGAGAGAGAAAAAGATACCAAATGTGTGAAAAATCATCCAAAAATCCAATAATTGTTTCGATCCATCAAAAGTTACACCAAATTGTACTCCTTCAGATTATGCTGCAGAATTGTGTCTTTGACGGCGGCAAACACGAACCGAATATTTTCCGTATCTGAAAATTTGGAGGTTTTGGGTTTTCTCTAGGTCATCTGGGGCTGGTTTTCCTAGGCCATGTTTTTCGGGTTCCGTTCACGTGGCCTAACGTTATCGGTTTCCTAGACCATCAGGTTACTTGGTCGGTTAAGGTCAGTTCTACAGTAGTGTGAACTAGATTGCTTCCAAAGGCCCTTGAGCTCTCTGGGCCTTCAACGTTCGAGTTCTGTTGGCATGACCTAACAGCGGTTTCTAAACCATCCGGGACTGGTTTTTGGCTTGGCCTAACTCTAGGGGTTTTCTAGGCCATCAAGTCCTGTCGGGTAAAGTCAGTTCTACTGTAGTATGAACTATGCGTAGATTTCTACCAAAAGCCCCTCAGCTTTCTAGGCCATCAACTCTCAAGTTCCGTAAGCCTGGCCTAACAGTGGGTTCTAGGCCATCAGGATCTAGAGTTTTTCGAGATCAGTTCACGTGGTCTAACATCTCGGGGTTTCTAGGCCATCAAGTTTCTAGGTCAGTTAAGGTCAGTTCTACTGTAGTGTGAACTATGTGTAGGATGCAGTCCCCGACGTTTCTAGGCCACCAAATCTTCAGTTCTGCGGACATGACCTAACTTTGGAGGTTTCCTATGCAATCGGGACTAGTTTTTTTGGCTTGGCCTAACTATGGGGGATTTCTAGGCCATCGAGTTTCTAGGTTGCTTTCAAAGGGCCCTTCTTAAGCTCCTCTAACCGGATTCCTCTTCGTTGCTCTGCTTTTCTGAGCCCTAGAATTTTCGTATCCCCCCAACGACGACGACAACCCTCTAATTTGTGCCTTCTTCGACGGTGGTTTTGTAAATATATAGTGAAATTTTCGAAAACAAGACATCCGCTTCTTCTTTTTCATCTTCTCCTTAAGGGAATATATAGTCGGGTATCCATGGGTTACCCGAAATGAAGATGAAGACACAACATATTATTATTATTATTATTCCCCCTCCTTTCCTTCTTCTTCTAATGACTATGAAGTCGTTGTCAAGAATGATCCACAGAGGAGCGCGGTTGCTATGGGCAACGCCGAGAGAATTTTTCAAAGATACACAAAGACTCACCAGTCGCGCACGTAAAATGAGAGTAGATAATCTTGTCGGCGTCCGGATTCAGATCGACGAACATTTTCAGGATGAACTCACGAGCGGCGATCGGGTCGCGTGGTGGTCCTGAAATTTGGGACATTTTAGACTTGGGAATCGGACCCAAAAAGGTCAAAATTTTTGGGTTTTTTTAGGTTTATTTTTGCCGCGATGAGTAGCGACTCAGCGGTAATCTTACTGTAGTATTAGGATAAGAAACACCTACCATCATATTCTGGGAAGTAGTCGGCGAGATGTGAGTAGAGAATCTTCTCCTCCAGCAAATCCTTCTTGTTCAAAAACAGGATGACCGACGAGTTGGTGAACCATGGATACGTGATGATCGTCCGGAACAACGCCTTCGACTCCTCCATTCGATTCTCGTTATCACACTCGACTAACACCTGATCATATTCGGACAGTGCTACTAGGAACATGATCGACGTCACATTCTCAAAACAATGAATCCACTTCCGCCTTTCTGATCGCTGTCCACCGACGTCGACCATTCTGGAAGAGAATTTCGTTATGGGATTTCTAGGCCAAAAGAACAAAAAACTCACCGAAAAATGATTTGTTCCAAGTCAAACGGATACTCAATGATACCGGTGGTGGGTACACGAACGCGCAAAATATCCTGCTCTGTCGGCAGATAGTCCGGTACGGCGAGCCGTCGGAGATCGGAAAGGTAGCTGAAACAAATGGTGTTCTAGAAGGGTCCATGGAAAAACACTCACTATTTGGCTGAATCTGTCAGCTGATATTCTCGCCTCCTATCGTAACATTCCTGAATACCAGAATCCTCCCATAGCTCTTTGATAAACGACACGTAGGGTTCTTCGAAAGACGTCACCGACTCGAAATCGACTTCCCGAACGACGGCGGCCTTTTCCTGGAGCTCTTCTGATTGGTCGCCGAACTGTATGCATAATGTGTCCATCGCTCGTATCATGGACTGCAAATAAAATTTGGTGTTTTTAGGTTTTGTGTTATGTGTAAGCTGAAGACGTGAGGATTCTAATTGTTCCAGTTTCGAAGAATCTTTAGCTATACAGATTTGGAAAAGGTTCAAAAATTGGTTGAAAATGAAATCATCCCTAGTGCTATTTGGTACCGTTTTGAAGCTGAAGATGTGATAATTCTACTCATCATAGTTTTGACAATTCTAGGTTAGATGTGAAAATTTCAGAAGGGATCCAAAAATGCCAACAATTCCCATACAAGTTTGGTATTATTCTGAAGCTGAAGACGTTGTGATTCTGACTGTTCTAGGTTCCAAAATTGGTTGGTAATGGAACAATTTCTATACGAATTTGGGGTCATTCTGAAGCTGAAGGCGTGATTTTAACAGTTTCAAAGCAAGAAGAAATCAAAATAGTTCTAGATGTATATAGTGTCATCTTGAAGCTGAAGACGTGGCAATTCTAATTATCAAAAGTTTGAAAATTCTATGTATTGTTGGAGAGATTCATTAGGATTCAAAAAGTTCCAACCATTCCCATAATATTTTGATGTCATTCTGAAGCTGAAGACGTGGGAATTCTAAAAATCAAAGTTTCGACAATTCTCGATGAAATTAAAAAGATCCGGATGAGTTCAAAAATTTATTGAAAATAGAGTCATCCCAAGAGGTGTTTCGTATCATTTTTAATCTGAAGAAGTGACGATTCTGATGGATCATTTTTCGAGAAGTTTCATGTGATTGTAAAGCTGACGACGTCGAAATTCTTATAAAGCAAAATTCAGCTTGATTGAATCTGTTTTAACTGTTTTATAACCTGCAGATTACAGTAGTTCTAGATGTATCCAGTACCATTCTGAAGCTGAAGACGTGGCAATTCTAATCCTGCTATTTTCAGAGAAACTTCAAGAATTTCCGAAAACATCCTTCCTCAGAAACTTCTAGATCCCCTCATCTTCGTGTCAATGTCATTTGACACAAACAAGTCGAATCATTACTACTAAAAACAAGTCGTATGTGTGGGTGTATTGCTCATCCTACTATAAGGTCATATTTCGACAACTAATTGGGTGGTGGTGTGGGGGTACGTACGACGTTGCCTCAAATTTGACACCGCTTCAACGGAAATCCGAGAAATCACCATCATGACTATCGTAGTTTTCTTGTGACTACGACCTTCAGAACCTTCGAGAAACTTCGAGAAAACGGGAAATAATACAAAATAGAAAAGCCTACCTGTATGGCCATAAACACATTCTGATACACTAATCGGATGTGTGCTCGTTTGTCCTCATCCGAATATCCCTGTCCGTGAATGATTCGCATCTGTTTGATGAATGTTGATTTGCCGGACTCTCCAGTCCCTGGAAAATTTGGGGAGATTAAGTTTGAATTTTAGTTTTAGGTTCCTTCCAATACAGTTCCCCTGCGTCCCACCACCCGCCCGTGCCCCACCATTTTCATCCCACCACCCACCCTCGCGGTCGGTCCCAACCATTTATGGGGGCCCCATCATTATCCCATCGCCCGGAAATCTTCTTCTTCTTCTTTTCTACCAAGCCATTTTCTTCTTCTTCTTTCTTCTTCTTCTCCAATCTGCTCTCTTTTCTCTCTTTTCCTTTAAAAAGCCCACACACAAATTTGGGCTCTCTCTGAGGAGGAGCCCTCTGCCACTAGTCAGAAAGAGAGAGAGAAAGAGAGTAGGAGAGAAATCAATTTGCACTGCTCACACACATAGGCGAGCCTCGCGGAGAAGAGAGGCTCCGCGAGAGACAGACAGAGCCCCACACACACACAACTCATGTCCATTAGTCATTTGTATGTGAATTCATCGAGCTTGGCCTAGGCCTCTCTGCGTCTCTTCTCCCTCTCCCGGTCTTCCCTTATGGTTGCTCCTCGCGGCAGCAGCAGGAGCTTCTGCGCTGATTAGGTTGTGTGTCTACGTCTCTTCGCCTTCCACACGTCTCGTCGCATCGCTCACAAACTCACGAGCCTCTCTCTCTCTCTCTCTCTGTTTCGGAGAAAACCCGGGGACCGATCAATAGAGAGAGAAAGAGATGGGGAGAAGAAGAAGAAGAGGCTGGTTGTGGCGGAGAGAAGGGGGGCAAGCGTTACTCTCTACGTCTCTTCTCGTTTAGCCATGCAAAAATGCTATATACGTCCTTCTTCTTCTTCTTCTACTTCTTCTTCTTCTTTTCCTACACACACATAGATATAGGAGAAGGGGGGTTTCGGGGGACCGACGATGCGGACGCGGGACGGGGGATATATGCCCCCGACAACGCCACATTTTCGACATATTAGGGGGTTTGTGTTGTGTTGCTAGGGATAACGAGACGCAGGAAGTGAGAAACGAAAACGTTCTGGAATCATTGATAAGAAGGGAGAACTGATAACAATGGGACGGACGGGAAACTGCTGATAAGGGGGGCCGGGCAGGTGTTTTTTTTTTGGGGGAACCCCCTGGAACCCCAAGGCAGGTGGAAATTGGAAATGGAATGAGGCGCGGGAGATTTGAAATTTGAATTTTAGGCATTTTTCGTCGATGCACCAACTAACCCAATAGGAGCAACTTGAGCTCACGACGAGCATTCCGCTTGTCACGTTGCAGTTGCTTCTCGATTTCCTGGTTTATTCGCTTCTGCTCTCGAGCCTCTTCGGATAAACAGCAGGCCATGGCGGCCGAAAAGGTGCCACCAAGGCCGCAGATGACGCCAGCGAATAGGTGAACAAGTAGAGCCGGGCACACAAGCTGTTAATTCATTGATTTATGGAGATAACAAGTGGTTTTATTGCGAAAAAATTAGTGAAAAATTGGGGAAATTTTGAAATTTTTGGATAATTAGAATTGGGAAAAAATGGGTGAAAAAAAGTGGCGAAAAATTCGCAAAAAAATGGCAAAAAATGGGAAAAAATATATGGGAAAAATGGTTCTTCAGAAACTGTCTTTTCGTTCAAATGAAAATGTGAGTGGTGAGGCGCCCTCACGCACACACACACTCACTCTCTCTCTCTCTCTTTGTGCGACTGATGAGAGAGAGAGAAAGAGAGTGTAGTATATTGAGCGGGATAAGACAGACACACAGACAGACACGTCCCTAAAAACTCTCGAAAAGAAGGAATGGTGTAAGGAAAAGTGTGGTGGTGGCAGCCAGCAGCAGCGGCACAGCGGCAACGCGGGTGTATAAAGCTGATCGCTTGACCGAAAAGGACCGCTCTATAGACGCTGGCTGACGCACACGCACCTAACACGCAACGCGTCCGATGCCTCCTCCTCTCTCGCTCCCCCACCACCACCGACTGCCGTCGTTGATCGTAGTTCGGATCGTGGCGAGACCCGGAGACACGGTCGGTGCCCTGCGCTCTCCCGTTCCGACACGCTTCATCGCGTTTCTCTCGTGGTCGCACGATGTCTCCACACATCACTATAGTCTCTTCTCTCTCTTCTTCGACTCAACGGGGCTTGGTTTTGGGGCGCGCCCCTCCCTCCCTTCTCTGAAGAAGAACCACCACCACCAACACCGGCTTGCAAACATTAAGATTTTCGTGTGTGGCACACTGACAGAGATTCCGCGTATTAAACTATGCAGTATTACATAATTCGCCAGACAAGATGGGCCGGTACTTTCTGAAAGAGAAGATGAGAAAGAAGAAGAATAATGATAAACAGCCAGATTCTTTTTTTTATGTAACAATGTTTATTGATAAACAAAAACAAGGAACAACCGAAACGATTTAGAAGCGGAGCTTGGTGAAGAACCACTTGTTCTTGCCGGTCTTGTATCTTTCCTCGAACTTGGACTTGACCTCGACGAGGGCCTTTCGCTTCTTGGTTGGTGCCTTGAGAGCTTCCTGAAAAAATAGGGGTTTGAATTTGATGAACCCTGATTAGATAAATAGAGGCCGTTTCTAAGAAAGTGGAGAATTGTTTTACGGTGTTTGGAAAAATGATCTTCTGATTGTCTTAAAATATTTTTTCTTATTTGAAAATGACTAAAATATACTCACTGTGAAAATCATTTCCAGACTTTTCGAAAATCATTTTGCAAAAACCGGAAAAGAATATTCATTTTCTTGCATACGGCCTCTAAATCAGAAGCCATATTCATTAACGTTTTTCGTAGTATGATGATGGTAATCCTTCATTTACCTTGTAATTTGACATTCACCACCCTCATTTACTGATAAACGTTCATGATTACGGCTTCTGATGCGGATGAGCAACTAACCTTGTTGATGTTGGCCTTGTCGAAGGCGACATCGACGGAGTAGCGAGTTGGGAGCAAGTGGGTGTAGGAGACGACCTTGAGGAATGGCTTCAGCTTGTTTCTCTTCTCGATCTTCTTCTTTCCCATGTCCTTGGTAACCTGTAACGAAAGACAGTTGAAAATACAGGCAAAATGTTGGGAAAATCACCTTGAGTGGATATCTGTCGATTCCAGCGATGATGGCATGTGGGTAGGTTCTGTCGGAGACTCCCTCGTCTTGCTGCTTGACAACGACGGCCTTGCGCCCAGCATATTTTCCTCTGAGGACGAGGACGACCTTTCCAGGCTTCATAATCTTGCCCATATTTACCTGAAAGAAATTAGTAAGGGAATTTGGGAGAGAAAAGAATCATCGAAGATATAAAAATATAAAGCAGAGATATTATCTGGGAGTAAACCAGTACTGAAAGCAGACGAAATAATAAATGAAGTTCAACAAAAAGGAGTTTTTATTCATTATAGATCCTCCTCAATTTATCCTTCTTTCCTTTGAAGTGTTTCTTCCCATTGGCTTGAACTGGGACCGTAGGAACAACAGAGCCTAACCGCTGAGGCAAGGCTTTGGAGTCTCGAACATGAGCCACTCCAATGTTACCAGCAAAGTGTTGCGAGTCGAATTGGGATCCTTTGAGCTCATCACCTTCAAGAAGTTGAAGCTTGGCAAGCTTCTCCATTTGCACTCGACCAATGTCCCGATTCTTCCTCTCCGGATATGACAAGCGGTCAAACTCTTCCTGATCGACACCTGGAGGGGCTGCTGCCCACATCAGCTTTCCATTAACAACATCCTTGAACATCAGCCGAGCTGCTCTGGAACAATCCGGAATGCCAGACGATGCCATGAATCCTCTCATGAAGGCGAGTGAATTCAGCAAATTGATCGCTGACGGATTTTCCATCTCCGGAAGCATGATAGAGTACATGGCTTCAATCACATGAACGGGAACTCTGGAGAGGAGCAGTGAAGTCGGCCCGAAATGATCCCTCATTTGGTCGATAGGGAGAATTCCTGAAAATAATGAATTAATAAACATAAATTTATGAGTGGGATATTACCATTCAGGAACATCTCACTTCTTCCGAACGAGAATGATGGCATGACAAGTCCAGGACAATCACACAAGCACAGTTGACTGTCTATGTGGATTGTCTGGAAATGTCTCGTTTTTCCAGGCGTCGCCGATACTGACACCTTCTTCCCTCCAGCAAGTTTGTTGATCGTGGAACTCTTTCCGACGTTCGGATATCCAACCATTCCAACCATCACTGGCTTGGCTGATGGCTCATCGGAAACGTGTCCGAGCTCCTTGAACTTCGCGATCAGTTCATCTTTGTTGGTGACGAACATATCCGAGGTTGACGTAGATGGAACTGCCGATTCCTCGCCGTCTTCTGTGATTGTCTCCAGGACATCGTCCATCGCTGACCAGAAGATAACATTGATGTTCTCTTTTTTGAAGAACTCTTTCCAGCTAGCCAATTGATCCGGTTTTAGAAGGTCCGCTTTGTTGACCAAGAGCAGAATCTGTTTTGCGGGATCTACTTCTTTGACGTAGTCGTCCAGATCCTTGCTTCGGAACAGCAGTGGGTTTCTGGCGTCGACAATCTGCACTATGATGTCGCTCTTCTCGATGACTCTCCACAGTTCCCTCCACATGTCTGGGTTCCTCTCGAACGGTGTCAGCACTAGACCATCCACCTGAAGAATACAATTTTAATTGTCTTTCAAAAGATCGCGTGCCTCTTGCAGCTCGCTGAGGTCGGACCTCCACTGAAGGAACACGTCGTTCTCTAATCGGGTGAGCTCATCCATGTTCTCCCAAAGTTCCTTCGCAGGTCTCCTTGGGATTCGAAGACGATGCTCATTTTCCTTTTGGAGCTCGAGGTTAGCGCGGTAGTCTAGTCGGGTTGGGACGACGATGGCCGAGTTTCTGGAAGAAAATTTTTTTTTTTTTACGTTTGAAAATGTTAACTCACTTCTCTATAATTTTGAATTGCTCCTTTTCAGCGGTGAATTCCGTTCCAGCGAGTTCTGCTTTTGCTAGAAACTCCTCCAAGCTTGTCTCGTCGGTTACCGAATCGATGTAGTGATTGACCTCGTGCTCCATGAACGCCGGGTTTTCGATTTCGTTACCGTCGTATTTTGCGCGCTGGTGGCTTTTCCTCGTCTTTTCTCGATCGTTGCTGAGAGAATTGCCAAGGGATTTGTTCAATCCCGTTGGCTTTTTGTTGCTTGCCCGTCGTTTGGTCATCTGAAAAAAAATTGCGATGAAAAAACGGTTATTTTGTAACAAAAATTAACGGAAATAGACGTAAAATGGTGAAAATATTGATGGGAGCAACGATTTCTACCGGAAAATGTGAAAAACTGCGAAAAAATATCAAAAATTCGAAGAAAATCATCAAAAAATCCGAAAAAAAATTTAGGCCGACAACGAAAAGAGAAGGAAAACGAAGCGAGTTGATGCGCTTCGCGGCGAGACCCGCCGGCGAAATGCCGCGCGCCTTTAATCTCTCGCCTCTCTCGCGTCTCTCTATAATGCACACTCCCTAATTATATTCTCAGTTTTTTCAGATAGTTTCACGATTTTCAGCCGTTTTTCCAGCTTTTTTTTCAGATTTTTTCAGAAAAAACTATTTTAGAATTTTTTTTCAGACCTATTTCATCTCAATTTTGTAATTTTTCCTCCCTCTTCACCGGTCAAATGCATTCAGATTTTCTCGTACTTTTCAGATGGAATTTATATTGGTTTTTTACCCGTTTCTCCGCTTTTTTCAGTTTTTTCTCTCGAGAAAAACTATTCTAAGAATGTTTCAATACCGGAATTTTGTTATTTTCCTTCTTTTTCTTGACTAAAATATCTTTCCGGTGTCCGGTGCTTCTTCTATCCTTCAAATCGAATTCAATATGCTTTCCAGTGATTTTTCTCAATTTTCTTGAATTTCAGATGATCCAACTACTCCGTCTCAACGCGCCACTCATCCAATCGATTCGTCACAACTGCCCGTGGCACCGGAACAGCTTCCGGCCGTGCTTCTTCCCCTACAAGATGCAGGAGAAGCTCAACGTGGACACGGTCGAGAAGCGGACGGAGACCCGAGGAGGCCGACTGATGCTGATGCGAAGGATTCTACGCGAGCAGAAGTTCCTTGGATACGTGACGAAGCCGGCGGACTCGAAGAAGATCTCATACCCATTGTAGGGTTTAATTGTTGATTTTTTATCGTTTTTTTCCCGTTTTTTCATCTAGATTCTTCAATAAATTTTATTAAATCCTAAAAGATCATGAAATAAGGAAACAGAAAATAGTCCACATCCTCTCTAGTCTTCGCAGAAACATTTCAGAGCCAATTTGAGAGCGACTACTTCCTTTTCCCTCCTGAACACGCCATCACCGATTTTTCAAGGGTTCTGGAACATTTCTCTGCCCTTTGAAATGAAATAAAGCTTCTAAAATACTATACATTTGAAGATTTCTCTGTTTTTCAGACTGTAAACTTGACAATTTTTCAGGATTCGTTCTCCCATGTTCTCCCAGATTCTCTCTGTTCCATCGAATCGAATTCCGCTGAAAATAGCCTTGAAAAATGTGTCATTCAATTATCCCCAGATTCCTGATGCATTTCTCGACCTTTTTATTGATTTTTGGGGAAAATTCCGAAAAAAAATTTCCTAGGAAAATGAGCGAAAAACCGTGCGACTAAACTGTGCCAAGCTTGCAATTCAGACTCCGCCCACTTTTTCCAAAAATTCTTTCTCCGGGCCTTTTTTTCTTCGAAATTCGATGGTCCTCATTGATGACGGATTCGGAATTGAGACCCCGGAAATCCGGGGAAAAACTCGGAATTTTTGAAAAATAGAAAGTGCGCTCCACTGAACACCTAAAAATTCGAATTCAAAAATGATGTTTTCAGAAAAAAATCTGAATTTTTTGAAGATTTTTTCAGAGAATTCAAGCGAAATCTATGAAATTTATGACGGTTTTCACTGAAAAAGTCTTAAAAATTATACATTTCGCTTGAATTTTAGTGAATTTCACTGAAAATTTCAAGGAACAGTTCGAATGGAAGTTCAAAAGAAGAGAATCCGGGATTCTCAATTTTTTGAAAGCATTTCCGCTTTTTTCAGCAATTTTTCAGTCAGCAGGAGCCGTTTTCACATCGAATGGATCTTCTGGAACCAAAATAAGTTTTTTTTCTTTTTTTTTCAGATTTTTTCGCCGGAATCTGCTTTTCTTCGTCGCTGGGACATCTTTGAAGATCTCGGAGCGAAAATTCTAAAAAAAAAAGAAGAAGAAAAATCGCTGAAAAACCTGAAAATTCGAAATTTCAAGCAACAAAAAATTCGAAATCTGAAAATCTCACAAAGTTGCTCAAAAACGTTCTCAACATCTTCAGAATTCTCCTTTTTACCAAAAAAGGATTAAATTCTGGAAGTTTGAGAGAAAAATTCAAAATTCGAACAAAAAATTCAAAATTCGAACATTTTTTTTGGGAATTTTGAATTTTTTTCGATTTCTTTCGATTCAAATACACAGAAATTATGATAATTAGACTTGAAATTCAGTGCTAAAAATGTTGAAAAACGAAAGAATCGAAAATTTTCACAGGTTTTCAGACAATCGGCACTGTCAACAAACGGATTCGTCGCTCTGAAATAAACAATGTTCTGAAAAAAAATTTTCAAAAATATTCCATCGATTTCAATCGTTTTTTAAAAGATTGATTTTTTAAATTGATTTTTCTTGTGCAAAAACCCTCTGTTCGAATCTCGCGGGCAACGATGACGTCAATTTTTAAAGTGGAGACAGGTGTTGAAAGGGAGTGTCTCGGTGCGGCCCGTGGGAAAGTCAATAGTTAAATATCGATTTTGCAATCAATTCTCTTCTTTCTGCCTTCCTTTAGTTCTTTTTTTCCTCTTTATCCCAGAAAACAACAATAAGATTTTTTTATTTTTACGCTTTTTTAACGGAGAATTTTGGTTTGAAACTCGCGATGTTCCTTTAAAGGTGGGGGGGACAGGAGATTTTTTGTAGTTTTTTTGTAGCTAGAGTATGCATTCTACCGTCACGGTGTACAACGGTTAATGTCACTCTGCGTACAGCTGTCGTCCTCGCCTTTATGTATGCAATCGGGCGTTCGCTTTCTCTTTGTCCGCGTAGCTCAGTCGGTAGAGGCGCCGCACCCTCAATCATCGCCCTCACAAGTTCAACTCCTCGAGGGGCATCTTTGAACGGAATTTCGAGAACATTATTTTTTTCATGTCTCCCCACCTTTAAATTTTAAAATTGAAAGGGAAAAGTTTTAAACGTTTAGTCTCGTTTGTTTAAAGCAGTTTAATGGGGGTATTCTCGTATACTTTTCGATTACCTCTTCTGAAAACAAAGACTAGCCGATCACCTATTTTTTTAAAGTGATTTTCAATCCCCAAAGTTTTCTATTTTTCCAGATTTTAGAAATTGTCAAAGTTTGACAATTAAAGAAAATACCGTTAAAACTTGTGTTTAATGGGGTTATTCATGTAGCGAAAATATGTATTGAAATGCATTTCCGCGCCCTCGAAATTCAATGCATGAGCGAAAAAAAAATGGAAAAAGGTATGCGCCTTTAAAGGTGTTCCCCATCCTGCACAATGTTTAAAGGCGCAACCCTTTGTCCAGAAAAACTATCTCACCACGCGATGTATTGAAATGCTTTTACAGTTATGTCGCGAAATGCTTTGAAATACATTTCGCGACGCTCATGCATTGAATTTCGAGGGCGCGGAAATGCATTTCAATACATATTTTCGCTACATGAATAACCCCATAAAGGCACATGTCGCATCGCGTTTTACCGTAGTAAGAGGGTCTCGCCGCGAGAGATATCAACTCGCTTGATACTCAATTTTTTTGAAGGCCTAAACTTTTTTCTTGGATTTTTAGGTAATTTTCGTCGGATTTTTGATATTTTTGTGCAAATTCGCTTGGTTTTCGTTAGAGATATTCAGTTGACAAGTTTCTGCAAGCTTCTTCTAACACTACGCGGTGTTTGTTAGCTACTTTTCGTTCGAAAATTTGTTTAGGCCCAAATTTGGCGACTGATTCTTGCAAGGGAACTCTCTGAAACATATGTTATCTTACTCTGAAGTGAAGTTTTTGTGTCCCTATATTTCCTCCTACTTAATGACTCTGAAATTTCGGCTTTTCCTTTTAAAATATATTATTCAAATAATTTTCAGAATGGATCCGAAACTTGTTCAGAAGGATTGTTTCGACTCGTTCACTACTTGCATCGACATCGTGAGAACGGACTTCGATAAAGCTGTTGAATTGGCAGCTACTCTTCGAATGCTGAATTGGAGCTGGTTCGTACTGAGAATCGCCACGAGTACGGCCGTTTGAACGATAATTTGAACGAAACCAAGCAATGCATCAAGGAGGCTTTGCAAAAAGCGAAGAAAAGTGCCGAGGAGTCCTTGTTTCCAGCTGCTAAAGCTGTTGCGAAAACTTTCAATGTTCCGATGGTTATTGTGCCAGCAGAACCTCTTCCAGACGCTCCCACTATCAACTCGGCTCCACTTGATATGCCGAATGCTCAAATGCTGAAATTCCGCCGTGATCGTTAGTTTTTTCAATACGAATTTCTCATTCAAACATCTTGTTTTCTAGAAGGAATCACAAATCTAGACTTTTCAATTGGATCTATTATTCTTGTCGGAAAAAAAATGGTTGAGGCGAAGTGTATGCGAAGTTTGTAAACAAATACCTGAAAGCGTAAACAAAAAAAAACGTAAACAAACACAGTTGAAACGAGTGCGACAGTAACCCGGCGGGAAAATGTTGAATATGAAAGTTTTTTAGCTTTTCACATTCGCAGCAGATTTCGCCAAATATGTTCTGTTTTTCATAGCTTTTTGCTGTTTTTCTTTTATTTAATCAGGAATTTAAATAAATGACACAAGAGAAAATGCATATTCGTCGGTTTTTGAACGTTTTTTACTGATCATTTGTACATAAAAAGCAAAATAATTGCGCGATACTCTTTTTGTCTTTTATTTCTCCATATCCATGTCGTTTATCTTTTTCTTTCTGAAATGTCCGAGTTTTTTCAGGAACCACCGCTCATCGGCAAACACAACGAGATGACGTAATCAAAGAAAAATAATGATATGGCTGGAAGAGAGCTTCTGTTTATTTTAATGTGGTGTTGCGGTTAGTTCAATAATTAGGTCAGTTATTTCTTCGCCGTCAGTATTTTCTCAGATAAATCCACAACAATGAAGACACATTGTCAAATGATGAATCGAATACGAGTGTTAATACCAAATTATTGTCGGGTTGTAGTGGTGGTTTGCTCATTTTTCCCGCTTATCTTCCTTCCTTCTTATTTTCTATCTTTCAGAAACATCGAGAATGAGCCACCAAAAATTCGAATGATTTTAAGAATAGATATGATTATAACCGAAAGAAGAAAGCCGAAAAAAAGGAAGAAAAATTGGATCGAAGTTCAATACTTCTTCAAACGAAATGGTGGAAGAAAAGAACTGCTGAGATACGAAGTTGACGAGTACGCGGCTTCTCTTGGTGTCAGAATCGTAAGGCTTCCACCTTACCACTGTCAGTTCTCACCAATCGAACTTGTTTGGCATCAGTTGAAAGACTATCTACGCAACAGTGGAAAGACATCGGACAAACTCGATGTAGTTCGTGAACGTGCAATCAACTACCTGAAGAACAAGTCGGAGTCGGAGATTCTTTTCACTTACGAGCACGTAAAAGATATCGAAGATGGCATTAAGTGCGTGATGGAAATCGACGAAAAGGATTCGGATGATTCCGATTCCGATACCGACTAATTGTTCTTGCCATCTTTTGATTGAAAAATAGTCTCGAATCTGTTGATCGGCTTGGCTTGATGACACAAGAGTGCTCTGAAAAAGTTCAGGCGGAGAAGAAATAGCTGTTTTGTTCATTACTAACCGCTCGACAAAATTAGGTGCTTATTTTCAAAAAATAAGGTCCATTTCGACATTTTTCTTCCTCTTTTTCGGCTTTCTTCCTTCGGTTATAATCATATCTATCCTTAAAATCATTCGAATTTTTGGTGGCTCATTCTCGATGTTTCTGAAAAATAGAAAATAAGAAGGAAGGAAGATAAGCGGGAAAAAGGAGCAAACCACCACTACAACCCGACAATTATTTGGTATTAACACTCGTATTCGATTCATCGTTTGACAATGTGTCTTCATTGTTGTGGATTAATCTGAAAAATACGGACGGCGAAGAAATAACTGTCCTAATTATTGAACTAACCGCAACACCACATTAAAATAAACAGAAGCTCTCTTCCAGCCACATCATTATTTTTCTTTGATTACGTCATCTCGTTGTGTTTGCCGATGAGCGGTGGTTCCTGAAAAAACTCGAACATTCCAGAAAGAAAAAGATAAAAATTCTGGATAAAAAACATACTGAAAAATGGAGCATTTTTTCAAGATATAATAAAAACGGGCATTATGATATAACCAGGGACCTGGCGGGCCATCGCGGACCATCGCAGACCCATCCATAGCTTCTTTTAGAATGCGAAATCTTGAAAACTTCCTTTTCTCATTTCATATTTTGAAGAGGCTTGATATGACAGTAACCACGACAACAGAACCATTTGATCCGGGATCCAGAATGTATGAGGCAGAATCTTTGAAACTCGATCAGTTCGAACACAATGTTCCTGAAGTATTACGTCATTTTCAAGGAAGGCAAGCATTTTTGAAAATCTTAAGATTCGATATTCCAGACTTGATTAAATTTGTGAATGAGTGGAAATCAGGAGAAGGATTCCAGAAGCTGGAGTACCTGAAAATCGAGGTACTCACGGATTAAATTCCCCCGACGCAAGTTCTTCGTGGAGTTATGGAAAAACGTATTGATCGAAGCAAGAAAAGGCTGGCGCACACTTTGCCCAAAGTGTATGTTCATTTTTTAATGTATTTGAAAATATGTATCTTCATCATTTTTCAGATTCATCGATGATAAGGAAAAACCAAACACGGAACCAATCATAAGCCCCACCTATGTCGTTAGAGAATCAGACAATCGTGTAGCATCCATTCTGATTCAAAACAGTACGTTCAGTTTTGGAGTATGGGATGTGACAGAGGAAGAGACATTTTTGAAATTTTAATTAATTCATTCTACATCTCAATAAACTTGTGTACACTACTAGTCTGTGTCAACAACCTGAGAAAGAGGAACCCTTAACTTTGATAAATTTTAATGGGTTTCTGTCAAAGGTATGGAAAAGTTGTCAACTGATAAATTGTTTATAATAATATCAGAAACATTTTATCAGTTAACACATTTTCTATATCTTGCACAGGAAAGGAGATCTATGGGCTCAAACTTAACAGTGTGGGGACCCTTCTATTTCAGGTGGGATGAGGAAGGGGCGTGTCAACTGGTAATATATATTCTTTTTCTTTTTCACGCTCCCTCTCATTGGAGCGCAACAGCATAATATATCATTTCAAACCCTGCCGCTTCAATTGAATAGCTAGGGTCCCTAGGACCCTGGTCTTGCTATCTGGACCCTCTGGCCACGCCCATTACGCATTATGTTTCCCAAAAGGAACGATTTCTGTCTTTGGCATTCAATACGTTCACTCAACATTGGACTCTCTGGATCTTTTTGAGACCCTCCTCCGATTGCGGGGAGGAGAGCATCTTTGAAGAACCGATTGCTAGAGTACGTCAGCTACACAATTACCGCACAATCGGTTCTTCGAAGATGACCCCTTTCTCACAAGTTCTCACAGTGGAATAGTATTCTTGCAGTCGGCCGTTCTCCATAAATAGTCCATAGAATCGCCGAAGAAATGAAGGAAATAATTGTGCATAGACTTGATGGCAGATGTATTTTCATGCGGGTTAAATAATGCTTTAGTGCGTTTGTATTTATCGGATATGCTGAAATAATTATATTTGTATGCTTCATTATTCATCGCAACTCGCCTAAAATCAATCATTGCTCCAGATACATTCAATTGAAAATAATCATTTTCAGTCTTCTCAGGTTCAACCATATTCAATAAATATTCTCTTCTACCATCTTTGTATAAAATATCAACAATCCGTTCTTTATTTATATCACATGTATATCTAACTGAACTGATATTTTAAATATTTTCTCTTGAGACGATTTGATTAGTTTCCTAATGTTTTTGGAGACAAAAGAAAGTAGAAATAGATTCCGATCTTCCATGTTTTGGATTATTTCTTCTTCAACCAAATACGGATATTTGGATAGTTTCATTTTTTAGTAGTTCTGGAAATATTAAACAGATACAACGACGATCGAAGAAAGTAGGAATTGAATGAGACAATGGAGACATCTTATGACGTGGTAGATGATCCAAAACGTACACAAGACGTACGAGGTGCAGGTTGTGACCTTGACTGGTTTGCACACTCCCTCCTCTGTCCCACAGAAACGAACTATGGTTTCTTCACGTTCTCTCTCACGTGAACTAACTCGAGAAAGGTGCAGAAGATGTAGATCTTTTGTCTCTTCTGTGAGAACTTGTGAGAAAGGGGTCATCTTCGAAGAACCGATTGTGCGGTAATTGTGTAGCTGACGTACTCTAGCAATCGGTTCTTCAAAGATGCTCTCCTCCCCGCAATCGGAGGAGGGTCTCAAAAAGATCCAGAGAGTCCAATGTTGAGTGAACGTATTGAATGCCAAAGACAGAAATCGTTCCTTTTGGGAAACATAATGCGTAATGGGCGTGGCCAGAGGGTCCAGATAACAAGACCAGGGTCCTAGGGACCCTAGCTATTCAATTGAAGCGGCAGGGTTTGAAATGATATATTATGCTGTTGCGCTCCAATGAGAGGGAGCGTGAAAAAGAAAAAGAATATATATTACCAGTTGACACGCCCCTTCCTCATCCCACCTGAAATAAAAGGGTCCCCACACTGTTAAGTTTGATCCCATAGATCTCCTTCCTGTGCAAGATATAGAAAATGTGTTAACTGATAAAATGTTTCTTATATTATGATAAAAATTTTATCAGTTGACAACTTTTCCATACCTTTGACAGAAACCCATTAAAATTTATCAAAGTTAAGGGTTCCTCTTTCTCAGGTTGTTGACACAGACTAGTAGTGTACACAAGTTTATTGAGATGTGGAATGAATTAATTAAAATTTCAAAAATGTCTCTTCCTCTGTCACATCCCATACTCCAAAACTGAACGTACTGTTTTGAATCAGAATGGATGCTACACGATTGTCTGATTCTCTAACGACATAGGTGGGGCTTATGATTGGTTCCGTGTTTGGTTTTTCCTTATCATCGATGAATCTGAAAAATGATGAAGATACATATTTTCAAATACATTAAAAAATGAACATACACTTTGGGCAAAGTGTGCGCCAGCCTTTTCTTGCTTCGATCAATACGTTTTTCCATAACTCCACGAAGAACTTGCGTCGGGGGAATGTAATCCGTGAGTACCTCGATTTTCAGGTACTCCAGCTTCTGGAATCCTTCTCCTGATTTCCACTCATTCACAAATTTAATCAAGTCTGGAATATCGAATCTTAAGATTTTCAAAAATGCTTGCCTTCCTTGAAAATGACGTAATACTTCAGGAACATTGTGTTCGAACTGATCGAGTTTCAAAGATTCTGCCTCATACATTCTGGATCCCGGATCAAATGGTTCTGTTGTCGTGGTTACTGTCATATCAAGCCTCTTCAAAATATGAAATGAGAAAAGGAAGTTTTCAAGATTTCGCATTCTAAAAGAAGCTATGGATGGGTCCGCGATGGTCCGCGATGGCCCGCCAGGTCCCTGGTTATATCATAATGCCCGTTTTTATTATATCTTGAAAAAATGCTCCATTTTTCAGTATGTTTTTTATCCAGAATTTTGAAATTGTATAAATTCTATTTTATTTGTTTGATTTTCTCTTCCATTTCCCCGGAAATAACACCTAAACATTGCCCGCAGCCAGCGATAACGTGGCGAGAGAGAGTGTATCAGAAACGAGGAGGCGCAGACAAAGAGAGGAAGTGTTTGTTGGGGTGGGCCGGAGTGGTCACTTTTATGCTATCTATCTACTGTCTCGTTTTACTGACCGATGCATTTGGTATAGAAATTTATTTTTAAGGACGTAACACATACCATACTTGTAAAATTCCGGGCCGCCCCGCCAAAGCCCGGGCCCGGCCCGGCTCGGCCCGGCCCGGGCCTGAGGAAATTTTCAAGGCCCGGGCCCGGCCCGGAAGGCCCGGTAGCAAAAATTTTGTCATTTTGAGCCAAATTTTGAGCTCTCAATACAATTTTCTCCATTATTTTTTGTGTTTTTGGATTGTTTGTCTGTTTGATAAAAAATATCAACAAAACTCGAAAAAAAATTTTTGATCGAAAAAAATCACATAAGGGTCCCTCTTATGTGTTTTTTGAAATTTTCAAAACTTGTGGAATGACAGGCCCGCCGGGCCGGGCCTCCGAAATTCGGGAAAAAGCCCGGCCCGGCCTGTTACAAGTATGTTTTATACATTTTTTTTCATTTTTCCTTTTCTCTGTTTATCCCGATGTGTACGCGAATGTTTGACTCCAGAAAATGAACGCCGTCACAGATGAGCAACTCCACGAGCAATTCGTTAAGACGTACGGAATTGAGCCAGAGATTCGAGTCACGTGTCCAGGAAGAGTCAATTTGATTGGTGAGTCCAGGAAAAATTGAATTTCTGGATTACTTCCATCTAATAGAAGCCCACCCGAACGTCAACTTCGAGCTCAATTATCTCAGTTCCTGAAAGAGATACCGTAAAACCTCTAATAGAACGACACCCGGATCGTCCACTTTGAGCCTATATATCTCATTTTCTGTGAAAGATATCAAAAAGGGGCTAACTAGTAAAATGTTTATCAGGAT